AAGAGAAATGGAGCGGTCCGGCCGAGCTAAATGGGCCGGCCGGCCCAAGGCGGCCCAAACTCGCGCGCGCGCGGAAGGGAGGAGAGAGAGAGCCGGTGGACCGGGCTCACCACGCGCGGTCCCGGGTGGGACCCGCTTGTCAGCGGCTCGGCTCACCGTGCGGAGGGAGTACGTGGCTTATGCGCGCGGGCGGGGGAGGGACGCGGTGCACGCGCGCGGCTCGCGGTGGACGCGGATGCGGCGGGCCCACGCGCAGCCTCCCGGCTCGCGGTGGAACGCGCGCACGGGGAGGGACTGACCGGGGTCGGCTCGACCCGGTCTAGGCTGAGCTGGCGCCGACGTGGCGCCTACGTGGCGGCCACGTGGGCTGGCGGGAGGTAGACGACGACCCAGCCGCGAATGGACGACGGGCGGCGGCGGCGAGCGGCGGAGCGAACCACGGTGATACGGGCAAAAGCGAGCACACCGGGTGGTTGCACGTGATGAGGGAAGACGAGCCAACGGCTCGGATTCGCCGGAGGGAGCTTGACGGCGGCGAATCGCGGCGGCGACAACCGGCGGGGAGGGAAGAGGGAAACGGCGGCGAGGCCACGAGGGGTCGATTCCCGGCGGTGAGAGCATCTACGCGGCTTCGGGAACTCGACGCTAGCGTCGGATTGGGCGGAACTACGCCGAGCGAGGCCGGCGACAAGCGGGTGCTACGGAGCTCGGGCGGCGACGGCGGCGAGCACACGGCGAGCGACGGCAACGGTCGGGGCGGCGTCGGCTAACTACGGGGAGTCTACTCAAGCTACTACCGAAAGCTAGGGGGAGGAGATGGAGCGAGGAGGAAGAACGGAGGGAGGCACTACCGTGATGAGGAGGGGCGCTGTGACGAGAGGCCGGCGGCGCGGGAGTAATCTCTCCGGCCTCGGGCCGGGGAAGAGGAAGGAGAGGGCGCGGCCGAAGTCCCCTTCCGCGTCCTCGAACGCACCGGCTCTCCCGGCGCTTGGCGAAGGACGGCGGAGGCGAGACAGAGCACGGGGGCGGCGGCAACGGTGAGGAGGCGAATGGGAGAGGAAGGGAAAGGGGGAGGCTTGGGTTTATAGGATGGCAATGTCGGTTTGGGAACCGACTTAGGGCGGTCAAGGGCGCGAGCTGGCGCTCGGCGGTCGCGGCCAAAGCGGCGACAGGGAGGATGACGCCGGCGAGGAGGAAAAAGGGGAAAAGGAGGGGGAGAAAGGGGGCTTGCCCCTTTGCCGATTCGGGAAAAAGGGGGAGGGGAGCGGGGGCGACGCGGCAGAGAGAGGAGGGGCGCGGCCTCCTTCCCTTGGCGGCTTGCGCGCGGAGTGGCGGGGGCCGGGCGGTGACGACGGCGATGACGGCGGGCGGTTTGGAGCGGAGCGGCGACACTGGCGACAGGCGCGGCAGACGCTGACGACGGCGGCGACCGGGCGGTCGGCCACTCGGCGCGCGCGCGCGGGAAACAACGGGCGGCGTCCGCGCGGGCGCGCGCACGCGAACACGGCGCGCGGGAAGCGTCTTTGCGAGCGGGGAGCTCGCGCGAGGGGAGGGGCGCTCGGCGCGGGCGACTCCCGCGCACGCGCGCGCGGTGCGCGGGCGGGGCGGAGGGGGGAGCGGGGAGAGAGGCGCTCGGGGCGGCTCTCGCACGCGCGAGCAGCGTGCGGGCGGGGAAGAGAGAGAGAGAGAGAGAGAGAGCGGGAGAGCGCCCGGGGGGAGAGGGAGAGAGGGGCCGGGGAAGAGGGGAAGATGGGCCGAACCTCGGGGGAGGCAAAATAGACTTTTGCGGAGGAATGTGATTTTGGATTCGGAAATGAACTCGACGATAGATCGGGGATTGAGATCTTGAGATGGCACGGACACTAGACAACAAGCAAAGAAACAAATTTCGCAATTAGGGTTTTTAAGAGAAAATTTTCCCGCTAGGCGCCACGACGTAACGGGCGCTACATTTTTTTTATAGAAAAGGCACAAATATCGTTGGTGCCGATTTTTTTTTAAAAAAAAGGTACTTACAAGGGGGGTTATAGGTGTCGGTTCTCTCAAATAACCACTCGCAGGCACGCGTTCAGGTGTCGGTTATAGACTTTTCGGCACCTATAGTATCGTCTCTTTTTTAGTCAATATAGTACTGATGACGAGTGGCTCCGCTATTGACATATGTATATCTATTATTGAACGGATTGTTTCAGTAGATTATCTACTTATTAAAGAAATAAATATTTTGAGAATTAACAGACATGTTAGAATAAGAGTGGTTTAAGCAATACAATACTATAAAATTATTTAAGCAAACATGTTTTTAACCCATGAATATCACAATAATACTAATTCGGTAAAGTAGTTAAAATAAACTCGAGGTGTACCCGAATCACGAGGGCAGTTAAACGAAGGTGTCCAGCTGATTGTTGAGTCTCATGAACACATGAGATCGCACAAGGCCCAAGAACTCCACGTCAGGAGAAGTTAGTGATGCAATATACTGTACACACCGTGGTTTCCTGGCCAACTGATCTCTGTCCCCCCTGTGGTCAGATCTAGTCATTCGAAATGGAATATGGTCAACGACAGTTCCCCGGCCTGTACCACTGGAATCTCGAACGAAGGCAGTTTGGGGATTACTTTGCATGGAATGTCTGGTTGTACTACATGTGTGCGTGCTAGACATGCATTTCTGGCAGGTGTGCAATGGAGGAGTACAATAATGGAGGCTATAATGTAATTATGTAATGTGTGAACGTATCAACTTCAAGGAACATACCGTAGCCAACTTTATAATCCAAAAGGCAGTACTAGCAGATGTGTTTTATAATCCAAAAGGCTGTCCCATAGAGCGTGAGAAAAAGGCCTAGTTGCTTCAGCGGCATTGACTAGGGGCGACCTTTTTTTTTTATGAGATCGAAGTGTCCAACTGGCCTGCCGGCAGGCAGGCCGCCACCGTTGATCGCCGCGAAAAAGGCAGGATTAGATTAACAAAGGTTACGTGTGGCACGGATGTCAGCCGCGAGCCCGCGGCGCCGCTCATGATCGATCTGTGCGGCTTTGCTTTTCTATGTGCCGAATCAGCGGGATTATGCAGAAATCGTTCACGAGCCTCTCTGCATCTGCATGGACGTGAACGCCCCCGTGACTGATGAACCGATCCGATCGTTTATTATTGAAGTCCACCGTTCCCTCAGCAAAGTCAGCATTGCTTCCCTCTTCCCGATGCCATTGCCACCCTAGCATAGGTGACCCTCGCGGCCCTCATGCTGAGACCGCGAGACGGTGAGCACAACAATGGTACGGTCGTCTCGGTCTGTCAATATATAATCAGCAGTCAATTAATTTACTTACTTCGAAAGAAAGCTTTGCCTGCTCCTCTTTATCTCTTCCATAGGTTTCACCCCCATCGTTTATCCACGGGGAGAACCGGAGAAGAGAGCAATGGCGGCAATGCTTAATTATCTGCTGGAGTAAGAGATTAAAGCAGGCTCTAGCACGAGGGAAAACCCTTTAAAAAGACAGACAAGGCAGACGACGCATATGCATGCATGGTGACCTAACTAAGCAAGCACGGACGGTAATGGTATGGTGGAGTGTGAAGTGCGGACTAATAAAGCACGTATGATGTGAGGTTTGGAGTAGAAAATGAAGTGGATCGATCGGACCTGAGCACAAATCGGCGGGGTTCTCTCTCTCATACGTTCGCCGATCTCATCAAAACTACTTTTGCCAAATTAGATCGACCGGAAATTTTGGCTAGACCACAGCGGTACCATGCATGCTTTAATCGTGCGTGTGAGCTACTGCCGCTAATAATCTATCTATCTGTATCAATCGGATACTTCAAGAGAGTTCTCACGTTAACGTAAAAGAATGTAGTTATTGACTGGATGGATCCAGAAGCAGAATTTCATTGGTTTTAGAACCCTTTTAGTTTTAAAAGCATACTCTCATGAAACTTACTTGTAACTTAAATGAGAGTTGTTGTATTACTTACCTCCTTGCACAAATGTAAGACGTTGGTTAGTTTAATTTTTAGCTAACCAACGTCAAACAAAAAAATGGAGGGAGTATAAAACAAACTAACTAATTTTGAATGCTGAAATTCACCATACGTTATACAAGTTGTTTCTAAAATTTAAATTTTAAACTTGATTACTATTTTCTCCATCGAAATATTTTTTTTAGCATTTGACATTTAAATCACTAAAGGCATGTGTTTCATCCATTCTATTGCTAATTACTCATGCAGCTTATAATTAGCATTAGCCAATGGCAGGGGCGGATCCAGCATGGGGGCGGCGGGGTCTCGAGCCCCCACTACTGGCGTGAAGACTATGAGAGACCCCACAAAGACCCCACTAAAAATTTTTACCATATATAGATGGGAGGGGGACTGTAACTCTATCTAGTTTGCTCAGACCCCACTGCTATTTTTTTCTGGATCCGCCAATAGCCAATGGAGTCTTAATAGTTTTGAAGATCAAAATTAAAAAAATATAAAGTTGTTCTCCCAAGTTGCTGTATTTTAAAATATCCAAAATATTTAGCATAACCACAATATTGACAACAAATATCCCGTACCATACTCGACCAAAGATATTTCTTTTGCGTGTTCGCGTACACTGTGGCTAGTGGGTTTTTCACGTGAGGAAGATGTGCGTGCCTGGATAGCATATGCGATCACCTTATATGCACCTATGCAGCCATGGGCCGGCCGTTTCCCCGGTGGATCGTGTTCGGACACGTCGCGGCCCCTCCACGACGGCCTTGGCTCCATTGCCACCACCAGATAAAGTAGGCGTGCATGCGCCCCACCCCCAGGCGAGTCAGAGCAGCGCGCGCGCGCGCGCGAGCGAGCGACGCCGTGAGAAACCAGAGCACCAAACCGAACCGCCGTTTCTCGCGTCTCGCCCTCTCCGTGACTCTGCCCGCGGGGACCCGCGCTGCAGGGGGAGAGGCCCACCCAACCGGCAGGTGCCCTCCCCCGCTCTATATATACGCCCGACCTCTCCCACTTCTCCCCCACATGCACTTGCAGTCAGTGGTACAACACCACAGCAACGCACCACCGGCCATCAACCTCCTCTCCCCTGCTTCTCGCTCGCTCTCCTGCCCTGTTTCTTGGAGAAGTGAGCTTAAGTGAGAGCCTCTGTCCCTCGCACACGCTATTGGCCATGGTGGTTCTCGCTGGCCCGCCCGCCGTCGATCACATCCCGCTGCTGAGGTCGCCGGACCCCGGCGACGTCTTCTCCGGCGTGCCGGTCGTCGACCTCGGCAGCCCCGGCGCGGCGAGGGCCGTGGTGGACGCCTGCGAGCGGTACGGGTTCTTCAAGGTCGTCAACCACGGCGTGGCCACGGACACGATGGACAAGGCCGAGTCGGAGGCCGTCAGGTTCTTCTCCCAGACGCAGCCCGACAAGGACCGCTCCGGCCCGGCCTACCCGTTCGGGTACGGCAGCAAGCGGATCGGGTTCAATGGCGACATGGGGTGGCTCGAGTACCTCCTCCTCGCCCTCGACGACGCGTCGCTCGCCGACGCCTGCACCGTCCCGTCCTGCGCGGTCTTCCGGTGAGCCCTCAAAACCGACGGCGATATATAATATCAGCCCCGTCCGTTTCTCTCGGTTTTTTACCTAGTGTTTGACATGGTGCGCGCGCGTCATGCATGCAGGGCCGCTCTGAACGAGTACATCTCGGGGGTGCGGAAGGTGGCGGTGCGGGTGATGGAGGCGATGTCGGAGGGGCTGGGCATTGCGCAGGCGGACGCGCTGAGCGCGCTGGTGACGGCGGAAGGGAGCGACCAGGTGTTCCGCGTGAACCACTACCCGCCGTGCCGCGCGCTGCAGGGGCTCGGCTGCAGCGTCACCGGCTTCGGCGAGCACACCGACCCGCAGCTCGTCTCCGTGCTCCGCTCAAACGGCACGTCCGGCCTGCAGATCGCGCTCCGCGACGGCCAGTGGGTGTCCGTGCCCTCCGACCGCGACTCCTTCTTCGTCAACGTCGGCGACTCGTTGCAGGTACGTACGCGGTACAGCCCCGACCCTTGGCGCTGCCACGTGACACCAATTCCATCAACGCGCTACCTTCCTCTTTCTTTACCATACTTTTTCCTTTTTCCAGAATAATTCCCATTAAACTAGATGGTGTAGATTAAATTACTAAATTAAATGACGTGGACACGGCTGAAATGGCTGCGCCTAGTGAGCGGGTCAACCGGGACATCGTTCCAGTTCACATCGGTATTAAAAAGAAAGAATCATCATCTGGACGAATATACTAACCCAATTAAGACGAGACAAGCAAGAAAAGGAAAGGGGTTCACCTGCATGATAGCATATGGTACGATGGCCACAGCCCACACGGCAGGGACTGGGTTTCGTAGATAACTACGACACTCGAGACCCAATAACTGCCGCCACTAACGAGCAGATTCAGTACATGAACATATATATGTGTGTGTGTTAGGCATGAACACTTCTGTTATGCCTGCGTGGCATCTCATTGCGTCATCATGCACACACTCTTAAACACTTTGTGCACTTCCCATATACAGATGGACAATATTTCTTTATCCGTTAGCACAAGAAGCACAGATACGTTTGATTAATTTTTCGTGCTGACTATTACCGTATTACGCATGCTGATTATAACCGTATTACACATATGCTGATAGATATACATGTGGTTTCTTGGTCCTGTACAGGTTCTGACCAATGGGAGGTTCAAGAGCGTGAAGCACAGGGTGGTGGCCAACAGCCTAAAGTCTAGGGTTTCCTTCATCTACTTTGGAGGGCCACCGTTAGCACAGAGGATTGCACCATTGCCACAGCTGCTGGGGGAGGGAGAGCAGAGCCTGTACAAGGAGTTCACATGGGATGAGTACAAGAAGGCTGCCTACAAATCAAGGCTTGGAGACAACAGGCTGGCCCAGTTTGAGAAGAAGTAGCTAGCTAGATGCCTAGCAACAGAACTGGCCGGTCAAGCAACAACGACTTTACTGCATGGCAGCTAGCTACCTTAGCTATGTCTCACGCACACGTACGGTACACCATGACCACGAGAAGATGAAGCTGCTTAAGAGAGAAAAAGAAAAGAAAATAAAAACAGGAAGAAGATAATAACTTCAAGATGCACAATGTACAGCCAGGTTGGATGGATAGCTAGATTTTTCTCGTGTGGCTAATCACCGTGTGTGGTGAGGTGGGCTCCTTTCCTGTTTCGGAATACTGATCGATGGATGAACAGCCTCCAATAGTTAATGTTAACCAAATATAGCACAACAAAGGGGTTCTTTTCTTCCTTTGGTTGTTTCTTTTTTCCTCTTGCCTTTGATTTTCTCGTCATGCTTTCTGAGCATTAATTATGTGTGCGTGTATTTCGGTATACGTAACGTACTTTTACCTATGTGTGTATAGTACGTGGCTTGTGTTAACAAGTAAATATTATAGTCTCTCTCTTTCGTTATGCAACTGACTTCTGCGCGGTCCAAATGCATTGATGGAGATATATCTATTGGTGTACAATGTCACCTTCAAGATTAATGAATTTTCATCACTCAGGATATCCCTTTATTATTACATGTCATCTAAATAGTTATCAAAAAATTACTAAAATAGATTAATATGAAATATATCACTCCACTAACATGCAAGACCAAATTTGATTTGTACAAGTTACAATAAAAAGAACAAGTTAAACTGAAAATAGTTACCGTACATTCACATATATATTTGTTATTTTTGTTGTAACTTGTGAGAGAAAACCTAGATTGGATGAACGCCGTGCGTGCAACTGAACAATAACAAACTTACCAGCCATCTTAATCCGTTTGCATATGTGATAAGTTCAAAGTAGTTTAGCTAATCTAACACTGCCCCTCAATCTAAACATCTTATATTAAGATAACAACTTGTAGAAGTTAAATTTTAACTTACATATTTGTATAGTGATATATTTCATATTAATCTATCTTGTCTTTTTTTTAATTTTTTTAAGACTATTTAGGTGACATGCACGAAACGAGTTAATATCCCCTCCATGGATGAAATCATTTCCCAGATTTCAAGGGCTTCATTCTTATCAAATTTTGTTTTGCTTTTTTTCCCCTATCCTGCTTGGTGCAAGTGCATCGATCAGCTAATTTCTAGGATTCTCCATCGGAGCCTAGTAGCTTTTATCTTCTCTAACTGTCGTGCGTGCAACTGAACATGAGGTGCATAGGAGTCGTCTTGAGCAATTTATGGTTATCTTGTGGTATTCTCTTGTTCACCACCACAATAGACGTTGTCCGGGTCCCCCATGCATGCGTCCTTTTAAGTTGAATCAAATTTTTGCATCCTCCCTCCCTTAATCTCCAACCATGAGCTATATAACACCCACACTTTGGAATTAAAAAATGATTTTCAACTTACATCTCGTGCATTTTATGGTTGTCTTATGGGAAAACAATCAATTTTGCATGCACCTAAGTAGTAGATATCTACCCACCTTCCACACTGTTGGATGTGGCCTATATATAAATGTCTTTACGTACACACATAGGAGCATAAGTATGATATATCACAGGTTCATACTAAGAGCAAGTTTAATGCATAGTATAGCCAACTACTAGCTCCAAAATCATCTATAGCCAATGTAATAGTCAATTTATACAATAGTTGCTTACTACAAAATTAATACAGATCTGTAGCCGTTGTTCTTCTCTCTCTTCTTTTATCTCTTTAAAATATATTTATAGCTGGCTTATAGTCTGTTATTGTACATGCTCTAATACTACACCCCTCATCACTCGCTAAGTACCAGCTTAAGAGGGCCGGTCAAGATCGAAAAGGCCAGCATGGGAACAAAAACTGAATTTAACCGCCATTGTTTCATTTTCTAGCACATGAGTGACTGATGATATGTATTACAGCATGTTTCTAGTTGACTAGTTGACTACTTCCTCCGTTTCATATTATAAGACTTTAGAAAGTCTTATAATATGAAACGGAGGAAGTAGACAACAAACAGAAGCGGATTTGTGGTAATTACCTCGTGTTTGACCACAATATATAAAAACAAAATAAAAAACTACTTTATCCATCCCTAAAAGACTATAATTTCAGCATAAGTATTTGTCTCACAAAAACTGTATTTTTAGAGTAGGCCTACTAGCTAGATATTTTTAATATATTTTTTTCTCGTTTTAGCTATCGAAGTAGTAGTACTTCCTCCTTAATTAGCGTTTTCTCTCCATATTATCGAAGGATATAAGTTTTTTAACCTCCTAGTACTTAATTTGTAGTTGACTAACTATAGTCTTCAGGATGGAGGAAGTTATTAATGAGTACCTTTACGGTGATCTTATTATCAATAAAAATAATGTTAATTTATGAGTTCTACTATAAGTATAAAATATCAGGAATTGAGGTGATAGATATATATGATCTATCAAATTAGAAAATATAGATGGCCCAGATTGATTCTAGTGTCACGATCCATTACTGGAGAACTGATCTTTCGTGGGTCGGCCAAAAATCACATTAGCCTCTAAACTTTTTTTTGTCCCAGTTAAAAAGCACAACACCACTTTATAATCTTTACCAACCGGGACTAAAAATCATTTTTAGTTCCGGTTCAAAAAGCGTCTGGCCCCTACTATCTTTAGTCCCGATTGGTATTAAAAATCAACGTGTCATATGTAATGCCTTGCACTTATCCTCTCATCCTCGATCGCAAACTCCTCCTCATCTTTAACTTCCTCTCATCCCTTCCTCCTCTCTCTTCTCTCTCTTATGCTCTCCTTTTCTTGCAGTAGCAGCAGCGAGGAGCGAGCGAAGGCGATGGCGGTGGCGGCCCGTGCGGCCGTGTTGCCGACGCTGGCACAGGTGGCGAAGCGGGAGGGGAGGTACTTGGCACGGGTGATATGTTTGTCTGTAAATTTATTGATTTGTGATGTCTTTAGATCTGTAAATTTGTGATGTCTATTTGAGTATATTCATTCAATCTGTGAATTTGTGGATGACTTTGTGATGTTTCTATGAACGTGGATAATTTAATTGTTGAGTTTGGTTCAAAACCAATATGCAAACATCAAAAACAAATGACAAGAAAAAGAAAAAAAATAGACACGGTTGGTAACATCATCCGGGACTAAATATCGATATCTTTAGTCCCAGATTCGTGGTCCCAATTTACAACCGAGATTAAAGGGGTTACAAACCGAAACTATTATGGGTTTCTCCAGCAGTGACCATTATAAAACCTCTCTAGTGATAATGCCTTTTGGATTGGCCCTACTCCCTCCACCCAAGGCATGATAGTTGCATCTTTCACTAATGCTCGTCCTTTCAAACCACCCTCCGTTGCTATACTCTTCATTTGTGCAGCAGCAGAAACGATATATGGCTGAGGAAGAAAGGCCATTGAAGACAACCGTACCACCAGCACGAGCAGGAGCCATCCAGCTAGGTTACCATTCGCGTAGTAAAGGCGGCGCCAGCGGACTGTACGACCCGCAATCCAGCCTCCGCGGACCACGGGGAATAAAAGAAGAGAGGGCAAAAGCTGTGTCAAACAGGGTGGACTGCGTGCCTGCGGTGCGGTGGGCAGCGACGCTCGAATTGAGCCGGTCTCTCGCGTGGCTGACCGCTTGATGCCCTGAGCGCAGCGCAACGCATGCAGGGCTGTGGTGGTGGCCACTAGCTGGGCACTGCGGCTGGACCGCTGGATGTGCCGCCTAGATGCCGATACTGCTGCTGCTACCGCGCGCTAGCCAGCCAGCTAGTACACTGGTATGTTTTTGTTGTCAAAGGCTCTGTGAGATTAGTGGCGGATCCAGAAAATCGATTCGTTAGTGTCAGAACATGTCTATCCGTGTTATAGTATGCTAATTATTCTTAGATCATGGTGTTATAGCATGTGGATAAACAGTTTCGCTATAGGTTTTGTTAAAAGTTGTCGGTGTCGCTTGACACCGGCCCTTCTACTGTAGATCCGCCTCTGGTGAGGACGCCAGGAGCCCAACGAGGATGCAATCAATCCGCGAGCAGCCCACCGTATTTGCAACGCACGCATTATAACGCTGTATACATGCACCGTCGTGGTCGTGGTGGCAGTAATACGGTCGGGGCCTGCACGCATGCACGAGGTAGTTCGAGCATTAGCCAAACATCAGATCGATCGAGAGTGGCGTGCATTGGATGCATGCGTGTACGGACGACAGCCTCTGGCCATCGCCCGTACTGCTGGCAGTCTGTTGCTAGCTGTTTTGAACGGATGAATGCTGTTGCTAGCCGATCGACCTGTGTATGTTTTCCGTTCCCTCTCGCGTGGAGTTCTGGATTTGGCGGGGCCACCGGCCGGCGGCCGGGGACCAATTGTGCCACGCCGCGCCCGCTAATAGCTACTGACGCGTGTGCTACCGGTGGCTCGGTTGGGGGCCGGAGTAGATCGATGGATCCGTGATTGATGAGGCCCTGTTCCGAACTCCTTTCCAGCAAAGAGGGGGGCTTTGGATAATCTCCTCACACGGCCGCTAGTATCTGGCATTACTGATGACAATTGTAACATTAACTGCCTCTCTGTACTGTATTGCACCGGTCAGTTACATTGATCGATATTATTGCGAACCTCACTATCGCGCTGACGGGCGAACGATCGAGATCAGATCGTGCTGTACTGTTGATAATCTCACTAGATGACCTAACGGCTGGAAGCCTGGAACTATATAGCTATAGCTAGCATCGCTCTAGCTAGGTCAGCTGGTCCTATGCCCGCCCCAAACGGGCACATGCATGCAAGGTTAGGACTTTGGTTAGGAGGAATTAAATCATGCATCAGAGCAACGTACGTCCTGCATATATCATATCGAGTGCCCAGGCTTTACGAGTTCTGTAGCCTGGAGTCTTGTGGACCCTATATACTGTAGCTAGCTAAGCTAACCTATCATAGTAATCAATGGATATATGCGATTTTGCGAACTGCATATATCCTATGGCGAGTCGCGCGCTAGCTTGCTCTAGCACGCGACGGTGCGGCGCCACCAGTTTTAATTTTCTCCCAACCACGCGCGTAACGTACGTCGTCGTTCTAGTTTTGACCCTAGTGCGAATTCTCTCTTTCACGTCAGGACACCAGCTAGCCACCATGACCATGCCATGTTTGTGTCACTGTGTGTCTACGTCAAAGAGTCATGCAGCGGCTACTGTGCTCGTACCTGGCCGAGAGAGCATGCACGTACGCACGTCGGATATCCACACGTATATATATCCAACGTGCGAGAGCGTGTGACCGATGTAGCCGGGACGTCGATCGATTGGCAAGTTAACAACGACGACGACGCAGAGATATCGATCTATCGACGGCGATATTGTCTCGCCGGCCGGAGACGATCGCCGGCGAGCGCTAGCTACGTACGTTACAGCTAGCGTAGGTGGCCGCACACGTGTTTTTGGGCAGTGCCGCAGTTGATGTGCCGCCTGCAG